TGACTGGCTTGAATCATTTTAGGATATTTAGGCTGTGCTCTGCCAGCCTGCGTGGGATTCCTAGCATATCTGAAGGGTGCCAGGAAAAAATGTCCCAATTTTCCCGAAGGAATTCTCGTAGTGCGGCTTCTACATCAGGGTTTAATTGTGCCCCAATGGAGGCCGTCTTTGTGGGGTCCGTTGGATGGACCTGGAATTTGACTATTTCATCTGCTGGTTTAAAAGAGATGGACTTAGATCTCTTATTGAGTATTACATCGTCCTTATTCACCATGGAGCGTATTGCAGTGAGTTCTTCTGCCGCTAGGGCTTCGAATAGTGCCTCTAGGGCTAGTGCGGTTGTCTTATTTTCAGCGCGGAGTGCTATGTCCGGATCACTGACTAGAGTGATGATTCCATTGGGCTCGGGTATTTTGAGCTTCATGTACCCTTAATGGGGTACGGCTTGGAAAATTGTGAATGCCTCTCGCCCTAATAGAGCGTGATATCCGCTGCTGAACGGGGCCACTTGGAACGTGACTTCTTCGGACCTGTAGTTGTCCGGCGAGCCGAACACCACATCTAGTGTGATTTTTCCTATGCAGCGTACTTCCCGACTAGGGATTATTCCTCTAAAGGTTGTGTTGCTTCGCTCAATGCGGCTCCAGTCTATTTCCATTTTTTGGAGGGTTTCCTCATAGATGAGGTTTAATCCGCTGCCGCCATCCATGAGTACTTTGGTAAGACGAAAGCCGTCCACTATTGGACTGAGGACCAATGCGGCTGGTGCTCGGGCTGTTTGGAATTTAGGTTCGTCGCTGGCATTGAAGGTGATAGCCGTGTCGCTCCATGGATTTGTTGTTGCTACTTGGTAGACTTCGGCGAGGCTGCGGATTGTTCGTTTCCGCATATTATTTGATGCGAAAGTCTCGAAGACAGTTAATACCGTACTGGTACTGTTGGGCTGGTTCTCCGGGGCTAGAAGCCCTTCGCCACTTTTGGCCACCTGCCGTAGTATCCAACATGCTCGGAGGCTATGTGTTGGAGTGGCGCCTTCTGCATTATGGATTTTGCAGGGTCCGCTGAGCCATCCCTCCAGTACGGTTCCGTACCCTTTAGGGGTTTTTTGCTTTTTGGCTTTTGACCCAGGTGCTTGAGCATGGTGCACCCTTTTATTCCGGACTAAGGTTGTGTTCAGGGCCGGATTGTCCCAAAATCTAGTTTCGGTTTTCCAGGCACTCTCCATCGAACAGTATTTTCGTACTATGGTCGCCTGGTCGGCGAAGCGCGTGACCTCGCGACAACTTATGGCGTTCATGATTCCCTTGTCCGTGCAATTGTTGCAGAAAATAGAGATTGCGCTTTCCTCATGGCAGTCCTTTATCCTGTCCATAACCAGGAGGAATCTGGCCCAGTAATGATGTACTGTTTCATCGGGCTCTTGCCGTATTTGAGATAGATCGTTTGTGTTTGGGTGGGCGGGTGGAACTAAATTCGGAACCCCGCCCAATCTGAGGCTCAAAGGCCGAGGAGTTTCCGGATTTGGAAGCTTGGATTGCTGGAGGTCGTCCAACGAATCTAGTCCGCTGTCTGACTTTAGGTTCAGTACTCGATTGACGTCCGTCCCTCCGCGGGAATCCGGCATGGAGAGATCGGGAATCCGGACATAACTGGTTTTTAACATAGAAGAAGAGTCGCCGCGTTGTTCTTCTACCACAGCAACATGGTTGGTAGCCTGGGGAGACTTAATTTCTCTCAGATCGGTTTTAAGCCCAATCTGATCATAGTCTGTAGCGACTCCCAGGGCGTCGATGCGATCCAAGAGCTCGTTTACGGAAGAGAGCTCCATCGGATCCAGCTGCTCGGCGAATTCCGAGTTGATGCGAAGATCGCTTTTGATGACCCGAGAGGTCATTGTCGAAGCGGTGGCCGAACAGGCGGTCATAAGAAAACCACCTAGCCGGGTAGCTTGACCGGCGGCCAAAGCTCCTTTGGCAATGGTACCGTCTTTAAAGACGGGAAGAGGCATCCTTCCTGATTGCGACGGCACAGAGGAACTCTCAATGAAAGCACCAATGTCGGTGTCAAAACTGGCGGATCTCGGGTAGGGGGTCCCGAACTGTGCGTCTAGGCGGATGGTAACAGGAGACAAGGGACACGATGTTTTACCCAGGTTCGGGCCCTCTTGATGGAGGTAAAACCCTATGTCCTGCTTGATTGATATTGATGATGTGGGTATTACAAGAATAGATCTACCACGAGATCAAGGAGACTAAACCCTAGAAGCTAGCCTATGGTATGATTGTTGTTATGTCCTACGGACTAAAACCATCCGGTTTATATAGACACCGGAGAGGGCTAGGGTTACACAGAGTCGGTTACAATGGTAGGAGATCTACATACCCGTATCGCCAAGCTTGCCACGGAACAAAGTCTTCAATCTTGTATCTTCATAGTCTTGGAGTCCGGCCGATGATAATAATTCGGCTATCCGGACATCCCCTAATCCGGGACTCCCTCACATAGGTTTACAACAAAACAGGGGAAATGAAAAGGAAGAGAGATGCAAAACATAGGATGAAAACCGCTGCAGGAAGCCACACGATTGGCATTCGGAACACAGGAGAAGGAATCCAACACATGCAGGTCCCCAAGTTGCTTGGATGCTTGTGTATGTGGGCCTCAAGGTGAATGATCAACCATTTTTTTACGGCTCACGTGGATCCCTGCATGCATGTCTGGGTAGCTTATTCCCTTCCCCTGCCTTCGCCCGCGCAAAAAAATGAGATAGTACTGGATGTTTGTTTTCCGGTGAAAATGCAGGTAAGGGAAACTTTCCGCAGGATCGGTAAGCAGGGATTCCTTCGTCCAAAAATGCAAAAGTTCCTCAGGAATCGGTTTCCTCTACTTTTCCTTTGTTCCCAACATGTCCTAAATAAATAGTGATCTAAACGCTCTTATATTTCTTTACGGAGCGGGTATATATGAAACAAGCCCAACCCGGCCCAAATAATAACCAGAAAAGGCAGCACAAGGGGAAAAAATAACCAATGACAGCCCATGTTGATGGTGTAGGGATAACACGTGTTACCTCGCATTTTCAGAGTACTATGGTCTTCGTCATCGTCTAGTGATCATCGTATTTTGTGAGAATAAATGTACTCTTGTTCTTTTGGCGATGCCATGAGGTTAGAGAGTTTTTTGTCCTCGCATATCCGATTATTTGGATCTGATGAATTTAGGTTGGTGTGTCAAAAAAAAAATTGTTGGTTTGATTCTTTGTGAAGTTGAAGTGTTTCATCGACATCATGGTGCAGATTTTGTGATCCGATGTCCTGCACTTCTTGGGGATCATCCCCGGCCCGGGTACGTTCACTGATCAAGGCTTCCCATCTTTTTGGATAGGCGACTCAAGGTGCTTTCAAAAACTATTACTGGTAATGTTTGTGCCGGTGAAAGAGTGACAACATCGTTGCTCCAGTCCAATTGCAGTCCTTTTTACCAAAGTCTTTGGAGTATTTCTTCTAACACAGATTGATGCAGTGAAGAAGGTGTTTCACATAGATTTCGTTGTAATTCTTAGTCACATGAGTTACTTTGTACTCCCTCCGTCCCAAAATTCTTGTCTTAAATTTGTCTAGATACAAATGTATCAAGTCACGTTTTAGTATTAGATACATCCATATCTAGACAAATCTAAGACAAGATTTTTGGGACGGACGAAGTATTTTCTTGGATTTTAGATCCAAATCAGTGTACCTGTAATTGTTATAGGTACTAGCAAAAGAGCCCGTGCGTTGCAACGGGAGAGAAAACATAAGACACGCTCTTAACCCAACAACCATCACTCAAGACCATAATAGGTCCATCTTCTTTATTTTTGCGAGGCATCATATTTGTGTTGCCGCTTATCCTTCTTCTCATCCTTGCCGGCGATGGTCTCGGTGTTCACACAAAACAAAACAAAAACGTGTTTGAATATGGTTAATCATAAGGCGTCTCTCTCTCTCGCTATCTCTCACTCCCGCGATGAGAAATCTATTGTTTTCCCCTATGACATTTTTCAGAGGTATGCATGTGTAGTTAGCGATGTTTTCTTTTCCCTATATGGTTATAGTGGGGTGTTTATTTGCAATCCGGATTGCCGCCGGTATGAAAAAAATGGATCTTGCGCTATAAATTATAAGTTTGCTTCCAAAACAATATTTTAAAAATATTTAAAGGTAAAATTAACAACATATTTCGATTCCACACATTTTTCTAATAAAATTTCATATATAATATGTTAAAATCGAAGTTACGGTTTAAAAGATACGAATAATTTAGCAAATCATTTGTTTGACTTAAATATATTCCAAAATAATATTTAAAATACTTAACAGGTAAAAATAATCTCATAATCATATTCTACATATTTTTCTAATCAAATTTCATATATAACATGTTTAAATCGGAATTATGGTTTAAAAGATATGGATGATTTAAAAAACATTTGTTTGACTTAGATATGATCTGCGGATGAATTACCTAAAACATGAGGGGGGTTTTGAAAAATGTAAAATAACGGTTCGGGTGTGACTTAAATCCGGACCGCGGGTTGATTTCATCAAAACACAGGGACTTTTCTGAAAAATATCATGACGGACAACCGAAACCCAATTTGCTTTATTATTAGATAAAGATGAATTAAATTTCAGGCGTTACTAAAAAAGAACATGTGACTGAACCACAATAACAACAATGATGAGGTCAATGTCAGGTGAATAAGGCCAAACTATATTTTGTCTAGATGAGTTTTAGGCATTCTCAAGTCACATTAAGCAAGCGATCACGACACGTACATGCGGTCTCGACCGTTACACTTGGTATAACCAGCACTCGCTGATCATTCTCTCACATGACAGGGGAGAAGCTGAAAAGAGGAAAAATGAAGAAAAAATTCGTCTCCATGCATGCATGCATTACCAGGAAAATAGTTAGACAGACTACTCGATCGACGTATGCTCCGACCCCTTGACTAGCTAGTAGTTGCCATTGGTCGCCGGCGTCTCGACGTTCAACACATAGCTGCCGTTGAACTTGCCGTCCCCGAGCTCGTGCTGCTTGCCGTTGCCGTTAGTCACCGAGGTTAAGGGCAGCTCACCGGCGCCCTTGCTACTACCGGCTATGAAGTCGTCGGAGACTTGGTTGACTTTGTCCTTGCTCTTGCCCCATATGAGAAAGTAGAGCCCTACCACGATGATCACTGCACCAATCACACTGAAAACAGAACAATGAAAGGGTATAATTAGTGTTGTTGCACTAATGTAATACTTCCTCCATCCGGGCTATTAGTTTCACTCATATTTTGGGTCAAACTTTAATTATATGTTTGACTAACAAAATATACATTGTATGCTTTAAAAATAATGTCACTAAAGATTTTCTTTGAACAAAAATCTAACAATACAAGTATATTTGTAGCATATAACACATTTTTGATCGAGAAACATATGGTCACCGAAAAATCGCGACGTAGGAAGTATATATCTTTGTCGATCCTGACATGGTAGCAAAATATGAAGAAATGTAGTGTACCTTCCGAGAGTGATCTCCTCCTTGAGAATGATGGAGCCCATGACGGCGGTAATGATCATGCAGAGCGGGTTGAAGGCCGTCACGAACACCGGGCCCCTTTGCTTAGACACGATGCCCTGCACGTAGTACGCCACGCCGGAGCACACTATGCCAGCGTAGACGGCGGTGAAGAGGCGGGCGTCGAAGCCGATGACCCACGCCTGGGTGTTGGCACGCTCGGCGACGAGGGCGACGCCGGTGCTCATCACCGAGCCCACACCACAGATGAGCACCGTGAGGGACAGCTCCGACGGGTAGTCCCGGAGCGTGCTGGACTGGAGGACGAAGAAGCACGACCAGGCCACGCAGGCGGCGATGACCATGATGGTCCCCTTTAGCCACGCCGCTGCATCGGCGCCGGCGGCCGCACCGCCGGCGTGGTGCTGGCCATTGGTCCAGGGGAACTGCACGGCGGGGCCGTGGTAGAGGATCATGAGCACGGCGCCGGCCACTGTGAGGACCGTGCCGGCGATCTTGGCCTGGCTGTGCAGGCTCCGCAGCCGCACCTTCTCCATGCGCAGGATGAGCGCCAGCACGAAGGTGACGGCCGGGAGGATGTTGATCAGCGCGGCCGCGAACCCCGCCGAGGTCAGCTTCGCGCCCATGTAGTAGAGGTTCTGATCAAGCACAGGCCTGCGAGGCAACGAACCACATGTCAGTAACAACAGTTTTGTACTCTGTCGCCATGCATGGATGGATGGACGACGGACGATCGAATTAATCAACCGTAACGGACGTACTCGAGGAATGCGAGCCCCATGATCTTGAGGAAGATGGTAATTGTCATCTTTGGCCTCAGTCCCCTGCACATGTTACGTACGCGGAGCAAATGTACAATTAGCTAGTGATCTTTCATGAACCAGATTTAGGTAGTAGTAAAATTAATCGAACTGAACTACTAGTATGCATGCTTCCACAGGACATGTGGGTTCCATGCATGCATGGTAGGACCTCCACGCTCCACCAGTGACCAATCAGGGCAGGGCACACAGCCGAGTGGGACGTCGCCAAGTGCGTTTACACATGCGTAAGCACAGATACGGCACACCGCGCACACAAATACCTGCTTTAGTATGTGTCATTCTCTACTTCTGCTAATTTATGCACTCTGCTATTCTGATGAATCCATCCATATATAGATCGATGCTGCTTGATGAGGTACGCATATGCTGGTTTAACGCGTGGCAATTATTCTGCTTAATTTGCTGGTGCAAAACAGAATAAGGTATCAAGGATAGGCCCCGGTCCAGTCCACGAGTACTGGTCGATCGTGAATATGGTATCTACAGGTTATAAAAGGAATGATGCTTCTAAATGAGACACACAAAAAAACTAAATGCGACAAAAACGAGAACGAACTGAACAAATTGTAGGTGTGCGCTTGCTCGGTCGTGGAGTGGCTAGCTGGCGTTGCTAATTTCCCAATATACATTTTCCCCTTCATGCACATTGTCCCTCCCTCGCAATCTTGTCGAACTAAATGAGAGCTGGAACACCCCGCAAAAAGAAAACGAGAACTCAAAAATCGAGCCATTTCGGGCTTCCAGTAGTCATCATTATTGGGTAAGTGCTGCAGTTGTGTGGTAAAAACTACTCCCTCTGTAAACTAATGTAGTAAGATATTTTTGTAGTTCAATATTAGTGTAAAGAGTAGTATATGAACGTGCATGCATGTTGGAGCCACCTCCTGTGATGGTTTGGTACTCTGCGTGTGTGGTGACTAGCACTGACAGTTCATATCTATAGTATGTTTGTCCAAGCAAAAATTGGCAACGGACGTGCATGTACGCGCGGTTGCACTGGCATGCACATCTTTTTTGTTCCTTTTTTTGCGGGCAGTGGCATGCACATCAATCCTATACTACTCCTTTCGTTTCTAAATATAAGACTTTTTAGAGATTTTATTATAAACTATATACGAAGCAAAATGAGTGAATGTACACTTTAAAGTATGTCTATATACATCCGTATTTAGTTTATAGTGTAATCTTTACAAGGTCTTATATTTAGGAACCGAAGAAGTATTTCACATGCATGCACGGGGAAACTAGGCCATGATATGCACTGCACCTACGGGAGGTGGGTCGATGGAATGAGTAGTTACCTCTCGAAGTAGAGGGCGAAGGGCGCCATGACAGCGGTGGCGACGAGGTTCCGGTAGACAACGAGCACGAAGTGGCTCATCCCGCGCTTGAGGGACGCCACGGCGATGATGTACATCCCGGCGAACCCCACCTGCAGCAGCACCATCGCCAGGTATGGCTTCACATCGCTCAGAACTTTCCATCCCATGCCCATGATCCTCTCGATCTCTCACTTCAAACTTTTTCGTTTCCAAGTCTTCCTCCTCCTCTTCTTCTCTCACTCACTCTCTTGTTTCTATGGTAGCTCGATGGGAAGTAACCACTACGCAAGCAATGTGATCGATGAGGCGATGAGCTCACACCGCGGCTGCTGTCTCGTTTATATAGAGGCTGGAACGCTGCTGCGCACAGTACGCATACCCAGGGTTCAGGTGTTGGACGCAAAGCGTAGTGTAGCCATCGATCGGTGGATCCGAGTCACGGATGCGCCTACCCGGTCTGTCTCAGTGCAATCTTAGCTGTATGTTCCATTCCCAGTTTGATATTCCATTAACGGGCAAAGGAGAAGAATTTGAAGCCGACAGAGTCAACGTCTGTGGGAACTGGGAGGCTTACTTCACTTTGCCCCTAGCTAGAGCTAACTAGTGCTCTTGTACCAACAACCATCCATGTTCATGCGTGCGTGCATGGTTGTCTGTAGTAGCTAACCTAGACAAGGATCAGCGTACTGTCAATGAGTTAATCAGCTCGTAATTAAGGTGTATCACCAATGTTCAAGTGAATTAATGTTAGTTTTAGAAATCTGGTTTTAGGAGAAATTTAGGGAAAACGAGTTTTAGTTAGTTTTTTGGTGTGGTACAGATGAGATGTATGCCGGATTGCTGTACCAATGAGGCATGGGTGAGTGTGTGGTGGCAAGTGGCAAGAGCATGTCTAGCCGATCCCCTAAAAGGCTTTAACTACTTAAAAAGTTTGTTCTGAGGAGTTAAACCGGACCACGGCGGACACCCTGTAGCACCTGCCTCACTTCGATCCGCCCATCATCTTCGCCCTAGTCGAAGTCGAAGCATCTACGCATGTTGCCGTTGTCTCCGGATTCGACGCACCTAGGCCTTTGTGTCGTCGCGTTTCTTCGAGAACCGAAACGCGCAAACACCCCAAGCACTCCACGCAGCCTCCGGAGCTCCCCGCGGTATGTCTTCCTCCTCTCACGCTCGCATCTCTTCACTCATCGGACTGTCGACACATCCTCGCTTGCTGGTCGGCCATGTTTGGCCCTTGCCCAACAAATCGTTGTATTGCCTTTGCTAACCATCAAGTGTGACGACTTCTAGCGGCTGGTATTGCGTCGGGTCTCAAAAATGGAAGAACACCCCATATGGGTCTTCTACAAGTGTGAAATGGACAAAATGAGTGCAATATTGTGCGGTTGTTCTTCGGTTTTAAAATAATTTGAGCTCAGTGTTTGCTTGATGTTATGCAAAAGGGTTGCAAGTTTTGATTTTGGGAAGAAGAATCCATTGATCTATTGATCAAGAGAGGTCTACTGGATGTTGGTGCACTAGTTGGTAGAGATGAGATTACAGAACGCAAATGTCCAAATTTATTCATTAGGAGGTAGAGAAGAAACAATTGTGTAAGTCAAGGAAGTCAACAGAGAAGAGCAAAAGATGAAGAAAGTATTCATTGGATTTGTAGGAGCAGTCAAGGAAGTTATGTTTTCTATTGAGGTGTGTAATTTTTCTTGTCGTGTTCTTTGGGTCAGTTCTCGTAGTTCAGATCCGGTGAAGTATGTGCCTAAGATATTATTTAATGCAGTAAATTGAGTAGTGAAGCTTAACTCAAAATTGCTTCTCTTAGCAGGTAGCTCTACACTTTGGGCCATGCCTAAAAGTAAATGAATTTGTGTTAAAAAATTGTGAAGTTAAGTTTTAAGAATTAAAAGTAATTATGTTTAACTCAAAAATTATGGGAAAGTTATGATTCTACTGCCATACAGCTATATATACCTTCTATCCTCACTGTACATTTTTGCATCAAAGTTCGGGTGGGCGAACTTCTCTTTTTTGTTTCTCCCAAATAAAAGAACATCTAAACTTGAAACTTTTGCAGATCAACATCACACAAGTACTACCATGTGAAGACATGTTTGGGGATTTTATGGCGCAACAAAAACAATTTAAAATGATGCAACTTATTCAAAATTTGTAATTTGAAAAAAATATGTTTCATCAAAAAATCGAAATGATTTTATAAAGGGCACTTGTGTATCTTTGAGCTGCAAAGTTTCAAGGTCAAATGTTCTCTTGTTTCGAAGAAACAAAAAAAAAGGAAATTCATATGTGAAGATAACACGGATTTTAATGCAAACTGGGTGGTCTAGGTATAAGGTGTATCTACATGGGAGTGAAAAATTCATACTTAAACTACAAGGGGCCGGTTGGACTCTCTCTTTTTTTTGAGAAATAAGGGGCCGGTTGGACTCTCCTTTTTTTTTGAGAAATAAGGAACCGGTTAGAAATGCTCTAAGGGTTTGACACGAACGTGCACGGTGGAGGTAGTGGCATCTCCATTATACCATATCGCGGCTTCGGTTCTTGTTTTCTCTCTGCCATGTGGCAGGGAGGCTAAGCTGACTGGCCAACATACGCAAGGACTCGTATATTCAATATTGTACAGTATGTCACTAAGCTGCAGTATAATACTCCCTACGTTTCAAAATAAATTTCTTGACCTTAGTACTCCCTTCGACATGGTTTAGAAGGCGCACTTGGAAATTCTCTAGGATCTAGGTGGTTATCTATTGGCTGTGAGATGGACTAAAAAACAGCATTCACACTACGCATACATATAGAAATAGTATATCGGAGTACTATTTAGCTACTAGAAATAAATGCAATGCGCTCCAAACCTTGTCTATCGTGGAAATGCACGTAAATTTAACTGTGCCTTCTAAACTGTGACGGATGGAGTACAAATTTATATTAGAGGTAGTACAAAGTTGAGACACTTATTTTGGGACGGAGGAAGTATCTTATTAATGTACTACCTCCGTCTAGGTGAATAAGTCATTCCCGTAGTTCTAGATCGTCGATTTGAGGAATTAAATATGTGTTATATGTCATGAAAAGTAGATCACTAGATTTCTACAAGGATGTAGTTTCTAAATATTTTTTTTGTCACATATAATACATATTTAGATAGTTAAATCGTCAACCTACAACTACGCGAATAACTTATTCACCGAGACGAAGGTAGTACTCCTTTTGTTTTTTTCTATAAGATGTTTTGGACAGCTGACATTAAACTGTTAGACTGTGATATATACCAAACGTTATATTTTAAGCAATAGGCATGAATGATTCCTGCGATCACTAATCCCACCCATTCCACCTCCGCGCGAGCTGTCTTTCTTTCATCGTGCATGCGTTGTGCAGTTGCTTTGAGTATGCATGCATGTGAGACGAAAATGCTGATGTCATCAAAGATTCTATTAAAGTTCAAATTTCAAAATGTTTTGTAGCTTAAACCGTCGCTCCGATTAAAAATTCGTTTTCACGTAAAAAATTCGTCGCGACGAGATCTTTGAAACTAGATCCCGAGTTGATATGTTTCGACGACTTTTATTTTCAGGTAAAAGTTACCACGCGCGTGCTACGCAAGTTACCATGTGAGTTGCCCATAAGTTATCATGTTATTTACACATAAATTACTGGGCATAATTTTTTTTCCAAATCTTCTCTTGACATGCACATGGGTTCGTGCATCAGAGGAAAAAGTTTCTAATGACTTTGTAAAAAAAATTCTATTGAACTCAAAAATACAAAAAATCCATTGAACTCAAAAATTCAAAATGTTTTGTAGCTCAAATCGTTGCTCGATTGAAAAACCGTCTTCACATAAAAAGTCTGTCTCGACGAGATCTTCGAAACTAAATCCGATATTGATATGTTCTATGATTTTTTTGTCAAAAAGTTATCATGTCTCGGCTATGTAAGTTATCACGTCTGCCATTTGTAAGTTACCATGACATTTACATAGAAGTTACCGGGGTTTGTTTTATCAAAAACTTTTATCCCCAGGTCAAAAGTGATTGTGGTGTTTGTAGTGAATTATCAACTTTGTTATGTGTATATTACCATGTTGCGTAAAAGTTATCGGGGTATGTTTTTCAACAATTTTCATCCTCCTCGGTTAAAAAATTACCACAATGTTTGTATATGAGTTATTAGCTCTCATGTGTGTGTATTATCATGTTGTTTATACATGAGTTTTTGGAAGGTATTTTTCAACAACTTTTTCCCCGGTCAGAAAATTACCACGCATGGATTGAGTAAGTTATCAGCTCTGTTGGATGTATATTATCATGATATTTACACATAAGTTATGAGGATATATTTTTACCAAACTTTTATACCGTGGGCTTTGTAGCGAGTTATCAACTTTGTTGTGTGTACAATACCGTGTCATTTGCACGAAAAGTACCAGGGGTATGTTCGCCTTAGTTATCAGGTATGCAGTGCTTATATTATCATGATATTTACGCAAAAATTATTGAGGTTATGTTTTTCAAACAATTTTTCCTCGGGGACCAAGTTATCGCGGTGTTTGTTCCTAAATTATCATGTCTGTGATGCGTTATCACCATATTATTTACACCAAAGTTATCAGGGTACATTTTTAACAACGTTTTCCTTCGGGTCGAAATTACCGCGGTATTTGTACCTAAGTTATCAGTATGCGGAAATATCATGTTATTTACACATAAATTACCGAGGGATGTATGTTTTCAACAAATTCTTTTTTCGTCGGTCAAAAATTACCGTGGTATTTGTACATAGGTTATCAGCTCCGCTGTGCGTAAATTATCATGCTATTTGCACATAAGTTATCAGGGGTATTTTTCCAATAATTATTTCCCTCGGTTAAAAGTTACCGCGTTGTTTGTATGAAAATTATCGGCACCGTTCTGCGTAAATTATCATGCTTTTGGCATAGAAGTTATCGGTCTAGTGTTCCTGTTAAAGTTGTGAGTTTGACTCACACCTCTAGTAAATTTTTTGGTGAAGGGAAGGACCTCCATAGTTTTTAAGAAAGAAAAAAACTGAAAAGAAAAAGAACAACGGGAGCAGAACCATGTGACAAGATCTGCAAAAAATATGAAGTGTACCTGAACACCAAAGTACAAAAGTCATTTAACGTGTAACTAGACAC